TATATACATACATACATGCACATATAAATACATATATATATATATATATATGTGTGTGTGTCTGTGTGTGTGTGTGGATGTACGCGTAGGCTTGCGACTGGCCCATTGGCTACAACGTCAAGAAAATGATATCAACAACATGACAGCGAGACACAACACCGACCGACTTCCGCCTCAATCGGAGACTCGAGAGAGGCGAATGCGATGTAACCTGCGAAACGACGGATCGCCAGACTGTCTTTTGTAGGAGACTATCTCTGGCCGAAGAAGAGGTGCGTGGCGCCAAGGGACGAGTGGAGTCTACGGCAAGAGGAGAACCGGGAATGGTGGGTTTGGGCTTACTCTGATGGCAGGCGTTGGTGGGGCGGCCGAGCGGGCAGATGCATTCGCCGGTCTCGAAGTGGCACTCTTCGCAGCCCATGCAGCGTCGGGCGCACTGGTCGCCGAAATAACCTCTCGGACAGACTGCAGCAAAAGGAGGAGGCGATGGGTGTGGAGGAAGAAGGAAAGAAAGAATGGGCAAACGAGGGCGAGTCAATGAGAAGGTGAAGCTGGGTACATGGCCGAAAGTCACATTGGCAACATGAACTACGGACGGGCAGATCCCCAGTCAGGCCAGGTTGGATTTGATGATCGACTGCAAATAGAAGTCCCCAACAATCCGAAAAATAGGCCTAAGACTCCGATAAGGAAAATGTCTTTATGCCTCCTTCTTTATCATAAGCAACTGGGCATTCTTAAGGTGCTTATAAAGATTAAACGATAGTCTAGAAACCTGGCTTGTAAAAAGAAAAGCACAAGGTCTGGAAAATGTTCGAGTAGTCGGAAACGATCAAGTTAAGGAGAGTAGAGCTTGACATATGCATAAGTAGAAAAACAAGAAGAAGTTCTACACAATTAGAGAAAAGGAAGGAGTTTGAGAAAACAAGAAACAAGGTAAGAGTCGAGAAATAATTAAGGTCTTATGGAAAAGAATTGAAGAAATAAGAAATGTTTTCGAGACTATATGATAAAAAAAGATTAGAATGCAGAAAAGAAAATTGATAAAATAATATTGTGTGTAAAATGTGTATTGCACCGAATAAACCAGTAAGGCAGAGAACAGCAAAAGATATAAAATAAGATGGGATAAGATAATAAAAGAGAAAATGAGACGAGACAAGAAAAAATAAGAAGAGAAGAGATGAAATGAGATGAAATGAGATGAAATG